TAATTTGACACACTGTTTTTCCCATCCATCTTGCTAAGGAGGCAGTATTTCTAGACTTCACAGATCAGAGGAAGGCCCCCAAATCACTTGAGATTACAGAATTAGCTCCTGTTTATAGAGCATATACTTGTGTCTTCTTCCAGGGTTCCATGGTTGGGCAAGGGCTCAAAGATACATTAGGATGGGTGTATGGTTTAGATGTGAGGTGTCCCCCCAAAGCTCATTTGTGAGACAATACAAGAAAACTTACATATGAAATGATTGGGTGATGAGAGTCTTAATCAATTCATTAATTCCCTAATAGGGATTAATTGGATGGTAACTGTAAGTAGGTGGGGTATGGCTGGAGGTGAGTCTTGGGGGTGTGCCTTTGGGGTTTATATTTTGTCTTGAGTGAAGGGAGTCTCTCTGCTTCCAGGTATCATGTTCTGAGCCACGCCAGTCTTCCACCATGATGTTCAGCCTTACCTCTGGCCCCAAAGAATGGAGTTGGCATTCCATGGACTAAGACATCTGGAAACATGTGCCTCCAAATAAACTTTTCCTCCTCTAATTGTTTTTGTCAGGTCTTCTGGTCACAGAAACAGTACAAAAGGGCAGACTAAAACTAATACCTCTTAGGTGATTCTGGTTTGCAGTAGGGTGGAGAATTAGTATCTTAAATTAGTTTATTTGAGGGACTCCCAAAACCTGTATCTGCAGAGACCTGTTTGGGGAAGACCATGGCACTGAGGGGACTTGTTACAGCCAGGCCTGCCACTCCTGGGCCACTAGGCAGAGAAAGGGCCTGTGGAGTGATCTGGACTTCCTGGAGATGGTCTGTCCAGCTGGGTCCAGCCACCCAGAGTGCTGAGAGGTGGACACATTATTCTTTGTAAACCTATTACTCCTGGTAATTCACTTACCAAGAATCCCAGGGGTTGTCTCTTCTGAGAAATAAATCAAACAACCACTGAAAAGCCATTACAAAGCACAACTGTAAATCCCAGTTACTTTCGAGGCTGAAGCCAAAGGATTCAAGGCCAGTGTGGGCAACTTAGTGAGACCCTGTCTCAAAATAAAATAAAAAGGTCCGAGGATGTAGCTCAAATGTAGAGCACTCCTACATTCAACTGCCAGCACTACAAAACAAAAACTAAACTAAACCAAAAAGAAGTGTCTCCTACCACAGATGGTCCATGATTCCTGTGAGCTCCCACTTCCACACATTCTCCCTCCATTGAGGGTCAGGGAAAAGGGTCTAGGTGCATGGGTTAGAACCAAGCTATAATTACTAGCTTTAGCTTTTGGGCTCTGAGAATGTCCACTCTCCTGGTATCAGAGCCAAGTGCAGTTAGAAAGACCCAGTACCACACCATGATCCTGGGTGAAATATCAGAACCCGGAGGGGCCAAACCTGGGCTTTGGAGATGGAATCTGCCTGAAGAAAGTTGAGACACAGGGCTGGAGCTGTAGCTCAGTGGTAGAGCGCTTGCCTAGCATGCATGAGTCACTGGGTTGGATCCTCAGCACCACATTAGGAAAAAAAAAAAAAAGCATTCTGTCCATCTACAACTACAAAAAAATAAAAAAATAAAAAAGAAAGCCAAGACATGGCTAGGGATATAAGTACAGTGGAGATCACTTCCCTAGTAGGAACAAGGCCAATGAATTGGATCCCCAGTGGAAGGAAGAAAAGTGGGGAGGGAAGGAAAAGGAAGAGAAAGAGGAAGAAAGGTAGCTGGAAGAACAAACCTCATGTGTAGGGCAACTAAGATCTTCACCCGAGGTTCTCAGAATTTTGCTAAATCTGGACATAAAAATGAGCTTGGGGGGCTGGGGTTGTGGCTCAGTGGTAGAGCGTTTGCCTAGCACATGTGAGGCACTGGGTTCGATCCTCAGCACCACATTAAAAAAAAAATAAAATAAATAAAATGAGCTTGGAAGGGGGCTGGGTTATGGCTCAGTGGTAGAACACTTACCTTGCATGTGTGAGGCACTGGGTTCAATCCTCAGCACCACATAAAAGTAAATGAATAAATAAAACAAAGGTATTATGTCCATCTACAACTAATTTTTTTTTAAAATGAGCTTGAATGGGGAAACAATTAAAATGCTATAAAACAAGGACCAAGAGAGGACAGGCCCCTGACCCTGTCAAGTGGTGTGAATGAGGGAGGCTGGCCTCAGATACTTAAGTGAAAGAGAAGTGCCGCCACAGCAAGCCAGGGCCAGCCAGGCAGGGGGAGGCATCAGCCGACAACAGCATGGAGGTAGCCACGGTGTGGCTGCTGTGGACTGAGCAGAATATCATGAACCAGGATCTCTTCTGTGGCCCTGCCTCATCACTGCTTATAAAGCTGCACTCTGATGTATTTTGTTGGTCCTAGAAGAAATCAGATAGGATTAGGGCCAAAACCATTTTATTACTGACTCAAAAAGAGAAAGGATTTTTCTTTCCTGAGCTAATTCATCACATCTAAGGAGCTGGAGTAGCTACAGATCAGGTTTACATTGGTACAGACTACAAAACACCAGCCCTACCCAGTACTGTATTTAGTGAATGTAAGATAACATCAGTTACAAGATGCCATTTTGTATATTCTTAAGGAAGAAAGATGGTTACTTTTAAGATACATTGATACATTAATGATTCTTAATTTGGCATGTTGACATTTGAGACATGGCACTTGTTCACAGAATATTCCTCCAGAGCAGGCACTGTGTAAGCACTTTCCACTGTTAAGCAGGTGCTAGTGGGCAAACCAAGGCTTAGAGAAGCCAAGTAACCTTGCTCAAGGGTCAGTTAGGAGGAAGCAAGGACAAGATTCAGACCAGGCTGAGAATCCTGTGTGCTGTAACAGCACAGTCCATCTCAAGGGTCCTTTGTCTCAAATTCTCACAGGATCACCTAATGAGCAGCCTGCTGTTCTGCCCATGCTCCCCCTGAGTGATTCTCCCATTGCAAAGTTTGGCTATAAGACATGACCTCCCCAGTAGCCTCTTTGTAAGCTCTAGGCCTCTCAAATCCTAAAGGTGTTTCTTGAGGTGTGATGCAGATTGGCCTCTGGCTGTGGTAAACATCCAGAAATGAGAAGGGCAGACTGATACTTTGTGGTTGTAGCTCTAGAGCTACCAAACTAGTTTTGGGGATTATGTAAGTTTGAATCCTAGGAACAACCCTAACTTGAGGGTCTGAAGGTCAATCCCTTTTTCATAGTCATGGGCTTGAGACATCAACCCACCAAAAGGGCAAGGAGAACATGTAAGTGACTTCCTGAAAAAAGGCAGAGCTCCAGGGTGACCTCTTCTGTTCCTGCATCTCAGAGTAGCAATGATCTCTCACTTGACCCAAGTAGTTTCAGAATTCCTTCAAAGTGGTTCTGACCAAGGCTACCCCTGGCAGACTCTCTTGCTCCCAATCTGCTGACTGATCTTTTTCAAAATTTTAAATATTTTGTACAGTTGTTTTATAGGGGATGTATAGAATAACTTCCCTGATTATTAAGTGGTTAGTAATAATTTCCTTTAAATCCTGCATCCCTTTGAAAGGCTGATGAAAGCATGAGCTGCATACACTTAAGCCTCAGGCATTTAGATTGAATTTATCTTTGGACAATGGGTAGATCCTATATAAAGAATCCTTGACTTGTTAGAAGCCACTAGGGCTGACTTCCCTGTCATGGATTTTAGGAACAGCTTGAATCAATTTTTTTCTTTTAACCCAGTGCTGGGGATTGAATCTAGGGCCTTACTCATGCCAGGTAAATGCTTTATCACTGAACTACCTCCTTAGCACATACACCTCTCTCTCTCTCTCTCTCTCTCTTAATGGTAGTAGGGATTGAACTCAGGTCCTTGTGCATGTGAGACAAGCACTCTACCAACTGAGCTATATCCCCAGCCTAACCAGCTCAATCTTTTAAGGGAACGGATATTCAGCAATTCTTAAAGGAGTTTCCAGTGTTTTAACTTGAGGCCCAGGATTATCCTGGATGAAATTCCTACTATGTTGGAGAAGCCCCTGGGCAGCTTCTGCGGCTCTGGTGGAAAAAAAGGAAAGGCCTTGGTATTTCCAACTCAGCTAGCATCTTCTCCCCATCTCCACCCCCAGTACTGAGGATTGAACCCAGGGCCTCACACACTGAATGCAAACACTCTATCACTGAGCTACAACCCAAGGCTTTTTTGAGACAGGGTCTAAGTTGCAGCCTCACTATGGCTGGCCTGGAACTTTCAATCCTCCTGCCTCAGCCTTTCCAGTAGCTGGGATTACACCACCATGCCCAACTTATATGTTTCAGAAGGGAAAATTTTTCCTTAACTGCTATCTACCTACTACATATAACTAGAAACTGCTCCCATATCACAGTGACAATAATTTGAAAGTGAAGAGATCAGCAGATGGAGCATACTGGGTCCCCCCAGCAAGCAAGGCAGACAGAAGAAGGATCAGGGAACTTCCATTTAAGAAAGGGTTCCAGACCAGAAGCCCTGGAGCTGAGGGCACCTTTGCTGAGTCTGGTAAAAGGACAAGAAACAGGGTAGGATTCCAGCTGGAGGATCAACAGGGCAGGAGTCCAAGGTCTCTGGTCAAGTATCAGGCCTAAATGGTGGCTAAGTGGGGCAGCGAAAGATGTGGAGAGGACACCATAAGGGTCAGGTTGGCTTGCCCTGGTGGTTCAGGGATCCTTAGATATTGTGGAGGTTAGGAAGAGCCAATGGATGAGTACACCACTGGTTCCTTTGTGTTCTGCCATGTAGGTGTACAGTCTGGGGCTTCCTCCATCACCTATAAAATGGGGCAAAGATGGAATTACCTAAGTGCTTGTGAAAGCACTTAATTCCTTTCTTAGTTAACAGCCAGAATTGCTCTTTGCTTAAAGAAAGGGAACAATTTCACATTTGTCATGTAGTTCTCCAGAGCTCTCCTTAGGCAGTTGTTGCATCCTCTCTGAGCACACAGAACAGTGAAGGTACAGAGAGGCAGAACCTGTGCACTACTATCATGTGAGCATTCATTCATTCGACAAACATTTATTAAGTGCCTACAGTGTGCCAGACCCTGGGGATACACAGCTGGATGTTCTGTCCCTGCCCTCAAGGAGCTCACAGTCTGGGGGCAGACAGTAAACACATGAGTGACAATACGCCATGAAATGTTGAGGCAGAGGTATGACAAAAGTGCTGGGACACAACAGGGTTTCTGATGAACGCTTCCTGGGGGCAAGGGTCAGGGAAGGCTTCACAGATCAGTCCACATATCTGGTGCCATGGCAGTGTCTTCCACACATGGGCAGGATCACATCACCAAAACCTCAAATGCTGGTCCACAACCCTTAGGTTGGGTGGAAGCAAGACCTCCCCTATGCTTCCTCAGGACAACTCCTAACCTCAACTGGATGTCCCTGCCTGCTGGGGCCTACAGTGACTGAGGAAGCTGTTCCGAACTCCAGGGGCCAATGAAGGAATAGCTGTCTATAGGACCAACCCTCAGGAACCTTGACAGGATTCATCCTTGACAGGATGCTTGTGTCATCCCACCCAGGGCCTCTGATTTCCCCAGTGACATCTCTGAGCTGGTCTGTGAGGTTATCTCTTTTCTTAACACTGTTAGGAGACCCCTACCCCCGTCTTTTACTGGTCTTCCTTCTCAGGTGCCTGGGCACAGCCTGCTAGACCCCATCAGAATAGGCCACCATAGCAGCCCCAACACCTGAACACTCACAGCCGCCGCACCAGCTCAATGAGCTGCTGGATGTTTTTGTTTTGGTTGGACAGGCCATTTCTGATGTTTTCTAGCAGGCATCTCTTCAATTCAAAAATGGCCTCACTATACCCAAGGCTCACAGCAGCCATGGGTGGTGCTCCATGCCACAGTCCTGGGACATGCCAGACATGCTGCCTCTCAGGGTCGCAGAAGGCTAGGCCCGCCAGTGTCCGGAAGCCACCACCTTGCTTCTCCATCTGGGCAGCAGCTCTGTTCAGGTCACTGGGTGGTTCCAAGAGCTGCCTCCTCTCTCTTGGCTTGGGGCTGGGGACAGGCATGTCATGAAGGTTCTGGTACACAAACTGATAGCTGGGCATGTGTCCTGTTTTTTCCAACCTCAGAAATGCATGCAGAATAGCTGGTGGAATGTCCCTCGTTTCAGCTAAACTGACCACAGTAACATTACTCAACCCCATTAGCAGAGTGGCCAGTGAAGCCTCCAGCTCAAACCTGTCCCCAGCTGAGGTCAAAGCCCCACTGATCAGCCCCCCAGAGTCTATCACAAGGATGTGGTCACAGCCCAGGTCCTGGCTGAAGCCCTCAGCCACTGTGATGAGCTGCATGAAGGCCCCCCGGGGACTGCAGATCCTCCCAGTAGCAAATCGCAGGCCAAACATGGTGTTGAGAAGCATGGATTTCCCTGTGCCTGGTATCCCCAGGGCAGATAGAACTACCAGCCGAGACCTCCTGTCCAGGCGGATGTGCAGCTCCTTGAGGAGCCCTGTGACCCAGCGAACAGGGATGCTCAGGGTTCCCCCATCCACCAATTCCAGGGGCAGCCCCAGCAGCAGCAGCTCTACAGCTAGGCCTGGGAAGTGGGCAAAGCGCCTCTGGCCAGCTGGCAGCCTCCCTGCCTCCACCAGGCAGCTCTCTGCCTCATAGAATTGCCCCATCTCACGCAGGAAATGCTCTACCCCAAGAGGCTCAGGCCAGAGTGGTTCACTCAAGTCTGAGGCCCCGCTGAGTTTTGGTCTCAGAGTGAGAAGAGTCTCTGGGGGCTGTCTCAGCCGTGGCTGGCCCACCCGAGCCAGCCCCCACTCCATCCACCTCAGGAAGTATTGTCTCTCACCCGGAGAGGGGCTGCTGATCCCAGCAATGAACTCTTGTACCCCTGAGGTAGGCTCCTGGCCATTCTGCTGCATCCGGAGCTCCAGAAACCGACGCCTCAGCTCAGCCCGGTGCTTCTCAGGTGGGTCTGGGGCCCACTGCAGCTGGCAGAACTCCCTCTCCACTTGGGCCGCTTTCCTTCCAGGGTCTCCCTGCAGCCTCAGCTCATCCCTCCTGTAGCCATCTATGTCCTTGATCTTTCTGGTGATTCTCTCCATTCGGTCCTTTGCCTTCTGACACTCCTCACAGTCCTCATCAATTCTGAGGCCCAACTTCCGGGCTGCATGAGCCATGTCTTCCACAGACACCCTCCTGCAGGGGGACCGTACCACACTACCCACAATCCCTCTGATCCTCCTCACAAAGCTCTCGCTGTCAGTGCTACTGACCTTCACCAGGACGTGTGAGTGGTCTATCTTCAGCACAGGGATCAGCTTGTTCAGGAATCGGAGGTTTGTGTTCCGTTTCCCCCGGTAGGGACTCAGAATGAAGTAGTATTTTGTGGTTGACTCCTTCATAGAGTATAATAGTTTGTATTCCTTCTTACTGATGTTGTCTGTCAGAATAAACACAGCCGAGGAGATTTCTGTCAAAAGTTTAAACTGCAGCCAGTGAGACCCAATGTCACCTCGCAGGTTCAGAAAGGCCACAGGCTCTGGGAAGACATCCAGGTCATCCCTGCCACTGGGAAAAAACCAAGAAATCTCTACTAACCCATCTGCAATCTCCCGGGGATTAGTGCCCAAGTTGAGATCCCGATGCCAGAAGCAGTCCCATTGCCTACGGCCAGGGCTGAGGATGGCATTGAGCAGCTGGGACTTAGAGTTGCTGCTGACATCCATGCGCACGAAGGAAAAGGTAGGTGCCCTGGATAGGACCACACTGTCCTCTCTTAGGCTGCCCAGGCCCCGAGGGGGCTGGGACCACCACGTCCGTACAACGGCCCGTAGGGCCCACAGCAGAAAGGTGTGATAGTGGTTTTCTGAGTCAGGCAACACAAGTGGGAGTGCAAACTGGCAGAGGGACATCTTGAGCACAATCTCCTGCTGCAGAAAACTGTCTGAGGACAGCAGCAGGGCACAGAGAAGGTCCAGGGGGTTCACTGGTGTGTCGGGTGTTGGCAACTCAGAGAAAGAGTAGATGTCATCAGCAGCGATATCCTCAGCTGGATCCCAGTAGATCATCTCCTCCTCCATCTGGTTTTCCTTTTCTGCAGGCCGGGCATCTGGAGGCATATCCAGCACCATGGTGGTATTCCTGGCTTCAGCATTGAGGGCCTGCAGTTTTCTGAGGAAATGCCAGGGCAGGTCCTTGGGAACCTGAGGAGCCCAGTTTTTCATACTGTCAAAACTGATCTGCAGAGAGTCCTGGAGGCTGAGCTTCTGCATCTGGTATGTCTCCAGTCCCAACAGGGATAGCATTTCCTGAAGCCTGCTTCTCTCCACTGTGGAAAGAAATGGAGACATGACTGCTTAGTCTACATTCCTGAGTCAGAGCCACTGTAGAGCTGGAGAGGGAGACTCCAGCAGGAAAGGGTTAGAAAGGATGTCCCTAGGAGTGGGATGCAAAAACAGGAGGCTCAGGGTATGTTTAGCTGATCTGAGATCAGGGAGGGGATGGGACCCAATATCAAGGTAAATACTATCATCCTACACAGATGTGATAACATTAGAAAACAGAAAGGAAAAAAAAAGAGTCACAATTAAAAACTGGGGAGAGTTCACGTAAAAGCACCAATTTCTGGTTTCTCTAGAAATCTCCAAAATCTAACACTTAGCTCAAAATTAATTGGTTAGAGTGAGCAGAACATGCCCCTTAGGTAATGAATGCAGGCCCCACCTCCCATGCCATAATGCATGCCAGAGTTATTCCAGTGCTTCTGGCCACACACATAAGCTGAGCCTCGTGCTCCCTCAATGTCACCAGGAAGTTTCCACAGGGGCACAATCACTATTTACTCTTTGGTTTCTAATTAATGTTATTTTTCCTTGTAAATAAGTTGGATAATATTTTAAAGGAAAATATTAGTAAGCAAGGAAAGTCAGCAATCATAGATCAGCATCAGATCTGAGACCAATATGTAATTTTTAGTCATAGTAAAATATCTGGTGCAGACTAAGTGAAAACTTGTTTATTTGTGCAGATAGTCAAATATCACTCTATACAATATAAAATCTTACAAGTTAGATGCTCTGGACAGGATTGCTATCTCCAAGAGTCTGGCATGGCATCTTACCAATGTTCAAACTGCACATAATCACTTTACTTTAAATGTTAATGCATATAACAATAAATATAATAAAAGCTCCAAACTTTTCTCCAGTTCCTCTTGAAAGGAAGCAATATGCTTAAATAAACCAAGAGAAAAAGCACTGGTTGATTCAGCCCTTCTATTGTTTCCCAAGGTCAAGTAACAGATTCAGGACCTTTCCCAAGTGACCTAAATGCTCCACAGCACTGACCACAAGGCTCAGAGTTCTTCAGCAGTGTGATTGTAAGACCACTCCAGAGAGAACAAGTGGCATGGGAACTTGCAAAAACAGAGGAACTGCATGGGAGGGTTACACTGTGGCAATATCCTGCGTGGATATTATTCAAGTTTCATAGTTTTGCCTGGATGAAATGAGGGACATAATTTTTCATCTATATAAAGAACAAATGTTTTTATTAAGTTACAAGGAGTAAAAGGCAATAGGGAAAAGCCAGAACAAACAACCCATTCTCCTATGCATCTGTGCCTAAACAGTGGCCTTTGGCAGGCCGTTTGGCAGCTCTGGGCCTGCATTCCCAAACTCAGGTGAAACTACTGGACCACCTGAAGGGTTTCCAGACTAGCTGAGATTAGAATCACTTTAGGAACTTGTTTAATAAAAGATTCCAGGGCTGGGGTTGTGGCTCAGCGGTAGAGCGCTCATCTAGCACTCTGCAAGGCCCTGAGTTGGATCCTCAGCACCACATAAAAATCAATAAAATAAAGGTATTGTGTCCAACTACAACTAAAAAATAAATACTAAAATAAATAAATAAATAAATAAAAGATTCCATCCAGCTTGGACCGGTGCCCCATGCCTGTAATCCCAGCAGCTTGGGAGGCTGAGGCAGGAAGATTGCAAAATCAAAGCCAACCTCAGCAACTGTGAGGTGCTAAGCAACTCAGTGAGACCCTGTCTCTAAATAAAATAAAAAATAAACCTGGGGATATGGCTCAGTGGTTGAGTGCCCCTGAGTTCCATCCCCAGTACCCCCACCAAAAAAAAAAGGTTCCATCCAGCCAAGCATGGTAGTACACTTACAATCCCAGCTACTCAGGGGGCTAAAGCAGGAGCATTGCAAATTCAAGGCCATCCTGGACAACTTGGCAACACCCTATTTCAAAAGTTCAAAAAAGGAATCGGGGTATAGCTTACATAGCTTGTACAAGGTCCCTGGGCTTAATCCCTAGTACCACACACACAAAAAGATTCCTGAGCTTCCCCTCCAAAGATGCTAAATATGGAAGTGGATGTGTTGAAGGAGAAGGTTACTACTGCTAGTTACTCCCCATGGTTTGAGCTCCCCAGAGGTTTGGTTTTCAGCAATATTACTAATGTTCCATAAATGGTTAATGGATTAGGGCATCCCAGATCTGGCACTTTGCCTTCCCAGGATTTGATGCAGATAGATGTGGAACCACCAGCCTAGGTAATGTCCCCCTCCAATAATATATCAGAAAGCTATAACAGCTGGGTGTGGTGGCATATGCCTATAAACCCAATGGCTTGGGAGGCTGAGGCAGGAGGATCACAGGTTCAAAGCCAGCCTCAGCAATTTAGCGAGGCTATAAGCAACCAAGTGAGACTCTGTCTCAAAATAAAAAATAAAAACAGACTGTGGATGTGGCTCACTGGTTAAGCACTCCTGGTACCCACCCACCCCGCCAAAAAAAAAAAAAAAAAAAAAGAAAAGAAAGCTAGAAAAAAAAGAGGAAATGCATACCTGCTGGGAAGTCATTGTCCTGAGCCTCATTCGTACCATCTATGAGAAAAGAAAAGAAAAAGAAAGTGTCAGGGCTAGGAATGTGGCTCAGTGGTAGAACAACAGCTTAGTACATTCCTGGGTTCAATCCCCAGTATAGCACCAAAGAAAAGAAAAATGAAGGTCAATCAAATATGTGCCTTTGATTGACACAAAGTAATTTAAGCTAAACCCAGAACTCTCCTTCTTTCTTACCAAAATAACAAAGTATCTCAATTATTAAAAATATGAAATCCTAGTTATTTTTCGCTTTTCTCCCCTCCTTTTCCTTCTCCAAACCAATCTATGCTAAGTCCCACAGTTTCTACCTCCATAATGGAACCCGCAGTCATCTCCTTCCATTTCTCTCCATTCCAAATCTAGGGAAATAAAAAACAAAAAACAGGCATTTAGTTTCATCAGCAAGTTAGAACACTTCTATCAAAACACTTAAGTAAGGGGGCTGGAGGTATAGCTCAGTGGTACAGTGCTTGCTTGCCTAGCATGCCTGAGGTTCAGTCCCCAGCACCACACACAGACACACACACACAAAGTTCAAGTAAGGTTACTGTGGTCAATGATAACTGTTCCTCATGCTCAAGAAATGTTTTAGGTTTTGGAATTTTTCTTTGCAGTACTAGGGACTGAATCCAGTGCCTCAGGCATATCAGGCAAGCACTTCACCACTGAACTATATCCCAAGCACCTCCTACAACCCCAATTTTTTGTGGTATTGGATGGAATCCAGAAACCCTCTATCTTTGAGCTATATCCCCAACCCTTTTTATTTTATTTTTGAAACAGAATCTGACTAAGTTGCTGAGGCTGGCCTCTAATTCCTGCCTTATCTGCTGGGTCACTGAAATTAAAGTTATGTGCCACCCTGCTCAGTTCCCCAGCCCTTTTTAAAAATTTTTGAGAAAGGGTCTCACTAAATTGCTCAGGCTAGCCTCAAACTTGCAATCCTCCTGCCTCAGCCTCCAAAGCAGATAGGATTACAATCATGTGCCACAATGCCCAGCTCAACATTATTTTTATTCCATCAGAGTCTTTGTAATCACTTAAAGTGATATTTATATGAGAGTACAAATCCCCAGGTAGGGAGGGCAGAGTAGGAAAAGTTGTGTCTCTAGCATAACACTAAATTCATCAACACTAATATTTTAATGATAGAATGTATTTAATTAATGCTATCAGATATTTATATCAGGAAAAAAAGACTTTAAAAAAAATCGAGTCCTTGTGCATGTGAGGTAAGCCTTCTACCACTGAGCTAAATCTTCAGTCCCCAAATTTACATTTTTAAGAACTTATTATCAAAAAAAAGATTCTGATATTTTCAATTCTCTCATGATTCCCATATAATTAAGAGAAAATTCTAAAATTTCAAACTGTCTTCTTTGATGATGTCTCTGGGAAATGAATATGAGACAGGCCTGAGAGAAAAAAAGGAAAGGGCTTCTTAAACAGCCCAAAGATATAAGAGATAATGCAGGACAGTTCCCCTGACTCAAACTGCAATGTCTAGCAGTCAAAAGGTTATTTTGCTCAAAGTGAAGTAAACATCAGAAAAATTTTTTACAAAGAATCCAAAATACCATATATGGAAATGGCTAGAGAAGAGAATGGGAAACACTAGAGAGCCAGGGATGGGGTTGGAGGTTCTAGAGTAGTTCGAGCTGGAATCAAAAGTAACCTTCAGTCCCCAGAGGAAACAGGGCTTTGCTTGGTTAGGGATGGAAAAGAGCCTGATTTGGATTCAGAGAGATAACAGGTACAAGAAGTCAAGTGAGCACAAAGTAGTCAAAGTCAGGGAACTAAGAGGTGGACACAACCTAATGTTCCACAGGCAGAGATGCAGAAGGCAAATAAGCAAACTATGCAAAAAACAGGCAGGGACAAAGCAGGGCCCCAGCAAGAGCACAAATCCACAGCAAATACAGGGAGGCCACAAGGCTCAGATCCATGAGCCAAGGACTCTACTAGAATTCTTACTAGGGTGTGGCCCAAGAGGAGGTAAGCCTGAACTCCAACACCATAGGAGCACCAAGTTCAAATGGGCACAGGGCAGTGTGTGGGCCAGACCTACCATTAAAATTATATCCATTAAGAACTGTTATTAGCCTAAGTGGGAGAACTCAAAATAGGGCAATTAAAGCCATTTTCACTCAAACGAAATGATCTCCTCCCACCAATTATTACAATAGTTGGTATGCACCCTCTATAGTGTTTTCCATCAAATTTTGGAATACTTGTTATTGGGCAGTAAACAGAAATTTAAGACATCATTTCACACCTTAGAGCTATTAGCATCAAGAATGAGGTATGACGGCTGGGATTGTGGCTCAGTGGTAAAGTGCTTGCTTAGCATGTGAGGTACTGGGTTTGATCCTCAGCACCACATAAAAATAAACAAACAAAATAAAGGCATGCTATCCATCTACAACTACAAAAAAAAAATTTAAAAAGAAAGAATGAGGTATGAGCTGGGCTTGGTGGCACACACCTATAATCTCAGTGACTTGGGAGGCTGAGGCAGGAATGTCACAACTGCAAGGCTAGCCTATGGAATTTAGTAAAAGCCTGTCTTAAAATAAGAAAAGGAGCTGGGGATGTAGCTGACTGGTAGAGTCAGGGTTAATTCCTAGTACTACAAAAAAAAAAAAAGAAAAAAAAAAGAAAAGAAAAGAAAAACAGAAAGAAAAAGAAATGAGGTATGGGTATCTGCATGCATAAGGATAAAGTTACACCTCTATCTAACACTGTATACAAGATATTAATTCAAAATGGATCAAGGATACAAATGAAAGTGCCCAACCATGAAACTCTTAGAAAAAGACATGGACATAAATCTTCATAATTTTAGATTTGACAGTGGGTTCTTATATACCAAAAGCACAGGCAACAGAAGAAAAAACAAACAAAAAAAAAACTTGTGCATCAAAGGACATTATAAATAAAAAAGAGGGTTTGGGATGTAGCTCAGTGGCACAGTGCTAGCCTAGCATGTTTGAGGCCCTGGGTTTGATCTCCAGCATAGGCAAGGAAGGAAATAAGGAAGATGAGGGATAGGGGGAAGAAAAGAAAAGGAAAAAAAAAGGAAGGAACGAAGATGATCAACTCAATAGAAGAAAATATTTGTAAATCATATATCTGGTAGGATCTAAGTATCCATATAAAAAACTCTTTATGCTGGGAGTGGTAGCAAACACTTGTAATCCCAGGGACTCAGAGAGCCTGAGGCAGGAAAACCGCAAGTTCCAGTCCATCCATAGCAACTTAATGAGACCCTGTCTCACAATAAAAAATAAAATGGACTGGGATGCAGCTCAGTGATAAAGCACCCCGGGGATCAAGCCCCATACTAAACATACAAAAAAAGAACTCTTACAATTTTATAACAAAGACAATATCTCCACTAAAAAGTGGGCACAAGACTTGAATAGAACACCTTGAGATACAATCTTCTTATAAAAAGGAAAAATAAAGGTCTAACACTTATTTATTTTTGAGATCCATGATCCCCAGCCCAGGAAAGTACTGGAACCCAGAAACCCAATGGGACAGAAGAAAACACATCTGCTTCAAAGTGGGCTCAAGTCCAACTTTACCTGCAATTGCCACAGCTGTTCGTCTCTCTGATGGTTTTATTTCTGGGGCCACCTCTCCCAAATCAGAATGTCTGAAACAATTTCAGAAGAAAAACATAATTAATATAATGAACTATGGCTTACACCTATCAAATTGGCTGCATATGAAAATCTCTTGGGGAGCTTTTAAAAACTACAAACTCTGGGTTATACCCCAGGTCCACAAAACCAGAACCTCTGGGAGCCGGTTCTGGGCATCTCCGCTTTTAAAAGTGCCCTCTATGACTCTGATGTGCAGCCCAGTCAAGAATCATTAGCCTGGAAACTCCAGCACTCGCAAAAGCTGCTGGCCAGAGAATAAATACAGCCATTCAGAAAGACATAAAAATATACATACCCTTTGACCAGTAATTCCACTTCTATCCTAAGGAAATAATTAAGATTTAGTTATAAAGATGTTGATGCCAGCTTTATATATAATAGCAAAAAGTTGGATGCCTTTTTAAAATCAAAGACAGATAACAAAGAATTATGATCTTATTCTGCAGCCATTACAAAATATCCTGTGGATTTCTTTTTGTGGGCAAAATGATTTTCGATGAACAAAGATGTTAATGATATACTAATTAGGAGGGGAAGTCAGGTTACAAAATAGTATTCTAGTATGATACAATTTAATAAAATTGTGTGTATTTATCTATAGGCATATATAGAGAAATCTAAAGGAATGTTCTTAAAAGTTAATAGTGTGGGCAGGGAGGGATGATCCTAACATTTTTTTAAGTGATGCTGGGAATCAAACAAGACTAGCCTAGGCAATTTATACACCAAAAGCACAGATGCTAGGCAAGTACTCTACCACTGAGCTATACTACTAGCAGTCCCTGAATTCTTTTATAAAGACTTAAGAACTGTATTTCCATTATGAATAACCTATTTTAGGTATGTCATAGAAATAAGCAAACAAATATATGTGTTGATTTTGTCAGAAGCCACGGTTTTCACTGAAGAAAGGACATATAAATATAAGAAGAAGTTACAAAACTTACAGAGGTGTAATGGAATGGAGGCACTAGTATGAACTGTAACTTCACATGGATGCTCAGATCTGTTTATGTACATGCATATTTCTATGTGTAGATATGTATATATGAATATGTATACACACACATAGCTCTGTCCCCAATATGAGCCAGGAAGCAAAGACACTGCAATAGCAATGCGCACACCTCGTACCTTTAATTCCATGGCAAAAGAAACAACGATTTCCTGGAGATTCTGGCTAATGCCAGGGCTAGCAGGGAAAGAACAAGAGGACTTGAGTATATTAGTTCAGAAAGCAAGCAAGTGCTCTGAAAAGTTCTGGGGCATGTATAGGATTCGGGTGCCAACTAGAGGGGCTTCCTCTGGCCAAACTGGGGACAGTGTGAGCATGAATAGAATACAGTAATTAATTTAAAACCATTGAAAACCAGGAATTAATTAGTCCATACAGATAACAGACAAATAAATGGAGGGCTCTTGCTCACAACAGAATGTTAAATATGGAAGGGGTGCTGTAGTCAGAATGCTATCATTTTGCAAACATTATATTAAGATAGTCCAAGCAAGAGCAAATACCCAATGCTAACTCTCAAAGAGGAGAATGCTGATGAGGAGCAGGCTATTTGCCTGGTCTTAAAATGTCTCCTTTTAGACTGTTTATTAGGTGCCAGGAAGAAAAAAACACAATGGAGAGCTCAGGTGATACTCTGGATGATCAAAATGAACCTTAATGTGGAGGACAGGGAGACTTCATGTGCCCTATTGTGACACAGTATCTCTGCAGTGTTCTGGCCCAGAAGGTAAAGTTCTGATCAATCATGAGGACAAATGCAAAATGAGGGACTTTATGCTAAAGAGGAGAAGTGTATTATTCCAGAGTGTGCATGTCACAAAAGACAGACTATGGAAATGTTCAGGATTAAAGGGAGTTAAAGAGACAAAACCAAACACAATACCTGACCCTATACTAGATCCTGCACTAGAAAAGGAAATTTTGGGGTCCAAAGACAAACAAAAAAAAAAGAAAGAAATATGGTTGTGTTACTGTACTGTGGTTATATAAGAAAGTATCTCTATTATTAGGAAACACTGAAGGATTTAAGGGAAAAGTCAGGTGGTATATATAACTTACTCTCTCTATGAAATGAATATGGAATAAATGTTTGTATCATTCCAAAATTCATATGTTAAAAAGTTTACCCCCAGCGTATTGATATTTGGAGATAGGGCTTTGGAGGTGATTAGGTGATGAAGGTAGAGCTCTCATGAATGGGATTAATGCCCTTATAAAAGAAGCCCAAAGGAGCTTGTTTCATCTACCACCATGTGAAGACACAGCAAGAATGCACTATAAGGAATGGGCTCTCACTAAATGGTGCCTTGATCTTGGACTTCCCAAACTACAGAACTATGAAAAATAAATTTCTGTTGTTTATAAGCCACCCACAGTCTATGTTATTTTGCTACAGCAACCTGAATGGAAGAAGTTTCTAATGGTAAGAAAAAAATATTTTTGTGTTTATGTGTGTGTGTATATAGGCACACATAGACACAGATGAGAGAATGCAAGAGTACACAAGAGAAGTGATGAACAACAATGATAAATGAGGTAAAATGTTAATGGGAGAATCTGACCAGGCATGGTTGCGCACACTTATAATCCTAGCAACTCGGAAAGCTGAAGTAGGAGGATCACAATTTTAAGGCCAGCATACGCAACTTACCAAGACCCTGACTCAAAATAAAAAAGGAATAGTGAATGTAGTTCAGTGGTAGAGTGCCCCTGGATTCAATTGCCAGTACCACAAAAAAAAAAAAAAAAAAAAAAAGAGAGACTCTAGAAGGGGTCTTGGGACCTTTTTTATTTTTGTAACTTATCTCTAAAAGGAAATTATTTGTAAATAAAAAGATTAAAAAGTTAAAATTAGGGGCTGGGATTGTGGCTCAGCGGTAGAGTGCTTGCCTAGCACAGGTGGGACCCGGGTTCGATCCTCAGCACCACATAAAAATAAAGGCATTGTGTTGTGTCCATCTACACCTAAAAAAATATATATATTTAAAAAAAAAGTTAAAATTAATAGTGGATAGTTACATCTGGGAAACAGGACATTCAACTATTTTGGTCTTATTTGTATTTTTTAATAATAGCATGTGTTAATTTTATAAAACTAATAGAGCTATTAAAATGATGATGATTCAGGGTTGGGACAGATGAGACAAATGGGTGCCAAAAAGACTTGATAACATGGTGTCCTTAAAAAATTATTCTTTCAAGAGTGCATATTTTATATGTGAGTCTGTGGCATAGAGAACAGGCCTCAGGCCCCTTGAAGAAGGCATAGAGCACCTCCCTAAACCCCCATTCAGTTGCTCAGCAAGACAAAAGTTTTGTATTAAGTACATCCTCCCAGAGGAACTTTTAGAACCTTTCATTGTTATTCCAGCATGTTCCTTGGGGTCTCCTTCTCTACCCAGAGACTTCTGCCACCCACTTAAGATGGTCCCAATAGCTAAAGGTTTCCTGCGTGCATGGCCATCTTAGTCATTATAGACAAAGCATTAAAAAAATGTGACTTCATCAAACCTTGATGCTGAAAAAAACACAAGTTTTTCATTGCTTTCTCTTCACTTGTCTGCAGAAAACATATTATATATTGCTTTGTAACATGAAAAACACCAAAAGTAACCTTAAAAAAGAAAAACAGCATGACAGGTTAAAAATAGTTCCACAGAGGGGAAGCTACAAGCCTAGCCCTGAGGCTCCAGGATGCTGCCAGAGAATGTCAGGTAGGGAGAGAGCAGATGACAGGTTTTTACAGCCCAAGATGCCAATAACAGGCCTCCTAGCTGGGCACTTGTCCCCCAGACATGCCTTCCAGATAGTGCCCTGGACAGGAGTTTAACTTCACCCCTTTCCATCCCACGTGAGAAAGTGGCAAAGCCACAGGGATGATTTTGAGTTTGTGCTAATTTAGAAAAGAGTACATATTTGCAAATTCTGTACTTTATTCTTGCTCCCAAACTGCTTGCAACCCATCACAACTGAAATGCACAAACCATTATTTGTGGATCCATCACTGCTCCTGAAAAATGGGGGAAACTGGAGGCAGAGCCAAGTGTCTAATGATTCTTATTTTACAACTTTACTACACATATGCATGATATCTTTGAATACTTGTACTGGACTAAATTGTGTGTATCCTCAAAATTCTTATGTCGAAGTCCTCATCCCAATGTGGCTATATTTAGAGATGAAGCTTTTAGGTAATTAAGACTAAATGAGGCCACGAGGGCAGGGCCCTCATGTGATGAAATCGGTGTCCTATAAGAGGAGGGCTCGCGATTGCGCGAGCGCGCGCTCTCTCTGAAAATGCACAGAGAAAAAGACCTGATTAGAAATCCTATCTGCAGTACCTTGATCTGGGACTTTCAGCCTCCAGTACTGGAAAACGTAAATCTTCTCTGTGTAAGCCCCCAGTCTGTGGTACTTTAGAGGGCAGCTCAAGCAGACTAATTCAATACCCCAAATCTACTTTGCAAGGTGGAAAGCAGGGCTCAGAGAGATGTGGCCAAGGGATCTGCCCACATCACCAGAGTTAGGACCCAAATATCTGAATATCTGGTTCTCTTCTAGTTCATTATTTTTTCTGTTTTTTTTTTGCAGTGTTGAGGATCGAACCCAGGACTCAGTGTATGCTAGGCAAAAGATCTACCACTAAGCTATACCCTCGGTCCTAGCTCATTATCTTTAAGGCTCAGGAAGGTTTGAGATAACTTCTAATGATAGCTAATAATTTCAAAAGTTATACAAAGAGTCAATCTGTTAACCCTAACTCCAGCCCCATTTTGTGCAGTGGGCATTGTAGCCTTAGGCATCTTCCCATCTATACTACAGGCAGAGTTGAATTAGGATGGCAAAATACTAATAGGTCCTAGACACAGGCAAGGGAGCTTTTCTGAAAAGCAGCTTTTGCAAATTACTAATATCACTATTTTTTTTAATTCCAAAAATAATATAAATATAAAATATTGAAAAGTATCATGCTTTTGCTCTCTTTCCTATCATACTTTCAAAAACTATCCCTACATTAATCTGTCCTTCCCTCCTTTCAGTCCACTGATGCTACTCTAGGACATCTGTTAACTGATACACTGCATTCTGTGTGCTCCATCTGACTCCCTCCTTAGTAGCTGTGTAGTTTCAGTCTTCTCTTGAGACTCACTCTGGCCCTATGCTCTTTTTTCTTAATTAGTATATTTTACTCTACATATTCTACTTTCTTACTCACTTAACTGATCATGAATATTTTCCCATATCCTTAGCAATTCTGGAAAACTTTCAACTTTTAATACTAGAGGTAATTTTTAAAGGGTAAATGT